GAGTACATATACTGAGCTCGGGAAAGATTTCCAGGGAGGGGGGGGGGCGCTATCTGGGTTGATTTTCTGATGGGGATGGTTTGCGCGGTTCAGAGGTTGGGGATTGAGCAGGTACTTGTACATGTACATGTGCTGTACTGTGTACAAGTCTGTACATGGGTGGGCTGTACTTTCGATACCTTCATATTTTTTTGGATGGGGATTGCATCTAAGAGAGAGATATGCTTAGGGTTCATGCTACGTGGAGAGTGAGTTCCCGCGTGTGGTCTGCTCGATTATGTTCTTGTTCTGGATTAATGCAATGCATTATAGCATCTGAAAGTCTTCTGGGTAGCTGATACTATGGCATGCTCAGGATAAGCCTGGACAGATCTGTGTCTGCTCTAATCACTGCAATACATCTACTAACATCTTCGCTTTTCATCGGCACGCCACCTATCTTGGTCGTTTCTTTTCCCCTCCTTAGACTGGAAGCGCGAGTCGTCGAGGATCTCCGGGTCTTTCTGCACGGCCCATGTCCACCAGCAGCCTGATATGCACTCCTTGGTGTTCTCGGGGTGGATTGCATGTACCGCACCACCTTTGAATCCCCCTACTTTCCCCGACTCATCACCATCCCTACCGAGCCATGAACGACTTTGACGCCTGGAATCTCCGCTTCCCAAATGCCAGTCTCGCCGCCCGAGCCCACTTCATGCCACCGCTTCAGCAGATCGTTGCTCTCCACCGGCTTGACCTCCTGGGAGACAGTGCCGACCGTGATGTGGGGGGTCTCGTTGGCGCACGGCCAGTCGCCCTGGCTCCCGTCCTCTGGGGGCATGATGCGCGCGACGAACGCCATGAGGCGGTTATCCCAGATGAGGCGCTCAAGACGCACGCGGGCGGGCGCCAGGGTGGGGGTGATGGTGGGGTCGGATTCGGGCTTGCTCTTCATCTTCTCGACGTAGTGGCGGGTGTACCCCTCCCAGATGTCGGGGCTGTCTCTCTTCGAGGCACGATGGATCAACGTGACATGGAAGGCGGGCTGGATGCGGCGCGATCGCGCGAGCTGATGGTAGATGCGGGCTCGCTCGGGGTCGGTGGAAGGCGGGAATAGCGACTGCAGAACGTTCGTGATCTCGGCCGCCGGCAGGCTGATGCAGAAGTACTCGAGCTTCTTGGCCAGATCCTCGGCAGTCGGGGCTACCGTGTTATCGGGGGTGCTGATTTTGTTGTTGCTCTTGTTCTTCTGTTTCTGGACCTGTTTGGCTGAGCTGTAACCCTGGCTGAGGTCGAGCTCCACCTGGTAGTCGTTCATCGCCCAATTGATGGCGTCGTCGAGCTGCTGTGCGGTGGGAACCTCCTTCACCAGTTTGGGGTAGGACGAGTGTAGGGCTTTCACGACTGTCTCGAGATTCTCCCGCGAAGAAGCTGCGACATCCAGATCAATGACCTCGTCGAAGTCTGAATCTGGGACACGGTCCGTGTTCACGCCCTCAAAGCGAGTAAGGAACCCCTCCATGATCCCGATGATCTCTTCTGTGTTCTTGGTGCCTGCACGGATCGTCTGGTGGTTGTCGCCACGATTCAGTACCCGCTGTCTCGTAACCTCGCGAATACCAGGGAGCATCTCCTGCTTGGGGTCGTGGACGTAGTGAAGAGCGATGAATCGAGCCCTGGGAACCCCTGCGGAGACATCCTGTATGAGCTGCTCGCGTTCGCGTTTCTGGTGATTGTTTCGGTCCGCAACCACCACCGGATGTATGGCAAGCAGTTTGTTTATATCCATGGCGAACTTTTTGGGTTTGTTCTTCTGTTTCGGGATGTTGTCGTTCTGCACTTGACCCCAGTTGAACAATTTGACCAAAGCAAGACCCACGGTGGTCTTTCCGCATCCCAGGGAAGCTACAGGGACCAAGACAACATCTCTTACAACTTCCTCCTTTGAGTCTTCAGATTCCATTTGGATGATTTCAGAACCGTTCATCCCGTGCTCCTGAAGAAAGCCTTCTCGCATAGCGATGATCCCGTGGTTCTTGTTATACTGCTCCCCTAGGTGCGGGTTCTGTGCGAGCTGTCTGCGAGCATACTGTAGATACAGTTCCGTGATCTTCTTGTGCTTCTTGATATTAGGATATTTGCCGGCGATGATCGCTTTGGTGCACTCGCGCCACTGCCTGTACATCAAGTAAGGCTCTTCAAACTTGTACTTGAAGAACCAGTCATGGTAGGGAGGACGGCCACCTTCACCCATCTGGCAGCGAATCACAAACCCTTCGGTCTCGCGACCATCCCATGTTCCGGTCTCTGCACACTCCTCAAGGAACTTCTTCACCTGGTCGAGGTCCTCGTACACAACGAAGTTAGCCTTCTTGAAGCCCCACGAGTCGGCGAAGGCGTGGACTTCTGCGCTGGAGCACGTGGCGAACTTCGGAACGTTGAAGTTGAGACCGTGTAGATAGATCCCTGAGACCGCCTCGTCGTATGCAAGGACATGCTCTTCGAAGCTGTCGTCACAGAGCTCGCCGACTGCCGTCACATTGAGTCTGCGCAATTCTCGTGCCAAGTCCTTGACAGATTTCCCAACAGACTTCACATGCCTCTCGACCCACCGTTCACCGGCCTGGGCGTGGCTCACTTCCGCATCATTTCGAACACCCGTCGAGTGCTTACTGCAGACCAGAAGAGTTCCGTCTTCGAGCCCAGAGATGAAAATGATGCACCCATTCTCTTTCACGCTGAGCTCGTACGGCCCTCGTGTGTTCATTTCAATATTCCTCCATTTTGTCGCGTTGACCTCCTCAATGTTGAAGAATTTATCGTATCCCCGGACCGCGATTTCATGTGTACCGTCCTTCCTTTGGGTGGTGAAAAGACCTCGAGCGTAAGTAGGGAGATCGTGACGTCGGTAATCCCAGTCCATGAACTTCCAAGAGTTCACTCTGATGCCGTCAGTCTTGTCCACATCGAATGTCGACTTCTTGCAGGTGAAGGTCCTCTTGCTCTCAGCTTTGCCTCTCTTCCTGGCCTCTTCGAGGCTCTCCACAAGCTGAGCAACTTCCTGCTCATCCTGCCGGACCGGTGTGATGTTCTCGTAGGACATGTTAATGAATCGGTGTTGCGTGTTAACTTGGACCGCAGGTGTAAAGCACCGTGGGTGCTGAAGGCGCGCGTGAAGGAGCTGAGGCCGACGGCTTCGAAGGAAGGGAGGGGCCGCTGACTTGTGTCGCCTGGGCCAGAAAGCAATTGCTCTTGGAACTAATCTCGCTGGCTTCATCAAACAGATGAATTTTGATTGGAGGTGCTCAGCGAATCATCGATAGCAGACAGTAATGGGGGAAGAGAAAAGAGCTACTCGTCAGCCTTGCCGGAAATTGGAGTTGCTTATCGGCTTTGTTCGTATGCGGGGCAGAGCTACTGTTTAAGTATACTTTAAAAAAGCACCTTTTTTTCCCGCTCGCCGCCACCTCCGACCGACCCCTCCTTCACTTCAGCCTGACTGATTCAGATCTCCCAACCCCCTTTTCCATATCTCCCTGTCTCAATCTTTTCAACTAGTACGTCTGTGTGTGACTCAAGGTTCGTCCAATCTCGCTGATTGACCCAAATTTGGCCTGACTGACTCAATCGATAATTGTCTAGCCGCCACAATGAGTCAACCCAACCCCTACATTCTGGCCGCCGAAAACCCCTCCGCTCTTCTAACGCTATTGCGCGCGAACCCGTCCATTGCTTCCGGTCAAGATGAGCACGGTTACTCACTACTCCATGCTGCCGCTTCCTACGGTCACATCCATCTTCTGCGCGCCCTGGTGAAAGAGTTCAACGTGGACGTCAACCTTCTGGACGAAGATGGCGAGACTTGTCTCTTCGTGACGGAGAGCGTTGAAATCGCAAAGTGCCTTGTTGAAGAACTCGGGGTCAACTACAACAAGAGGAACGATGAAGGCTTGGCTGCGTATGAGACCATTGAGAACGATGACTCGTTCCCTGAAGTTGCAGCTTATCTGCGGCAAGTAGCGGGCGTCCCAGCGCCCGCCCCTGCAGATTCTTCGGCGGATGTCGCCTTGAATCAACCTCCCCCTCTGCCTGCAAACCTGCAGCTGAACCTAGGCACGGTGTCGGAGCAAGAGGCGAACGCGGGAATCGACCAGGTGGACCCCGAATTCAAACGGCGGATTGATGAGCTGGCCGCGCGGGAAGATTTCCACAGTGAAGCTACGCAGGCCCAGTTGCGGGAGCTGGTTATGGATGCACTCCGAGGCTCTAGTATTGAGACTGACGAGCGTGGTGTGCGTCGGAGAACTGATTGAGAAGTTGCGGGTTTTCACTTCAAGGACCATTTTGGCTTGCCAAATAGCTTCCGCTTCACTCATCCGAGTCATTATGGGCGCGTTGGTCTATTTGGCCAGCCTGCGAGGCGTCTAGCGATCTCGAACCGCTATTGAGTCTCAACCATTCTCGCCGCTTCAAAGGGTATTAGCGCAGCGCTATCTCGAGCATTTCAACTAGGACGTATACCAACTCCAAGTTTTGAAAAGGACAGCCAATTTGCGTCAGCCACAAGGTTCGGCTCAGGCTTTTATGAGTTGCGCTTATATCGGGCAACCATATCTTGTTGAATTTTGGCAGCTACGAAGACTACCTATATACTACACGCACATTGAAAAATGCTGTGTCTCAACTAGCAAAAATCACTGCGAGTTCTCTAAATGCACTCTTCAAAGTCTTTCTCCACACCGGCAAGTGATCAACAAAGGCTCTTTTGTAAAATAGCAACGATGGTTGAATCTCCAGTAGCATCTAGACGGGGGACATGTCATCTCACGTGATTCGGTGCCTTTTCCCCGCATCGCCCGCACCCGGACTGCTTCTCCTGTTACTCCAACCATCCAATTACCTGCCTTTGCTTGTTCAGGTGCATCCCTCGTTCAACCCTGGCTCTCTGGCCAAAGTACCATTTCTTCTATCTAGTGCCCGCTTTACATCGAAAGCCCTTGTCACCATGAACCCGGCACTTAACTCCGACACGCCTCCTCCCCCACCTCCGAAGCCCAGCAGCCACGAGGCCAGTCGAAGAGGCACACCCCAACTCAACTCACCTTTGCCCGGCACACCGCAGCAGCTACACAGAGCCTATAATCAGCAGGAACGACTGGACATGTATTCAGGAAACAGATATTCCTCACCAGGGGTTCCTCTGAGCTCCCAGAACGTGCTGCCCCAACCGCCTCCTGTTGAGGAAGGTTGGCTACCGAGTAGTGTCAAGGACAAGAGGTATAATCTTACTCTGTATCAATCTTACAGCTGATGAATTAAGAACATCCCACTGACTTTGATCTTCTCCACAGTACTGTGGATTTGCAAACCATCCTCAAAGACCCGAACCTCATCTCCGCGCTGTCGAGCCAGCATCCATCCTACACGGCGCATCAGCAGCATCTGGAATCTCTCCTGAAGTACAATAAAGACCTGGCAACTCGTCTTCTCGAGCTCCAGTCGCAGATGTCGGAGCTACGGTCCTCGACGGAGACCCTTCTCCTGACCCATCAATCGCTCGAGGTTTCCTGGCGGAAGAAGCAATCCGAGATGGATGCTGCTCTGGCCCCGTGGTCGCCCAAGGCGCTGTACCAGAGGCTGGCTGCTTCGATATCGGAGCAGGAGGCTGTGTGTCGAGCGGTCGAGGAAAGCTTCCTGGAGGAGGAACACCATGGCCGGGCGTCGGAGAAGGAGGTCGCGGATTGGGTTCGACGGGTCAGGGCAGAGTCGGCCAAATTGGCCGCGAGGAGGGAGGCGAAAGCTAGGTGGGATGAGGGACGGGTAGGAGGATGGAGGTGATGGAAGCAGCCCGCTGGAATCGAGGATTCACTACGCTGGGTTATTATTGGGTCCCTGATGACCTCGGGACGGGATGCGTTTGCCATTGCTAAGCGTACGGGAAAAAGGATGAGGGCGCCAGAAGACAAATCATGGCCTACAGCAATCTTCCAAATGACTCCTGCATTGTCACATCCTCCACTGGCCTGATATACGCTGCTATCTGGTCAAGTTGTAGGGATCTTACTCCCTTGCTGCTTTACGGCCACTCTCGAGGTCAATATCTTGATCCCTGATCTCTGCTCTCACTGGCGGTGCATATTTAGCGGTTGCCCAGTTGTCTGCGCAGACATGGCTCGGCAGACCCACGCTTCGGAAGAAAGCATGGCTACTGTTTCTCGCCCCCCAAGACCAGCCTGCGCCGCGCATCACGGGAAGCTGGTAAAGGCGAAAACCGATCCAGGCGAAGACGATCCCCATGACTGATCCAAAAATGATGTCAAATCCATGGTGGCGGTAGTCAAACCACCGTGAGGCAGCTATGAAGAACGCCACCGCTATGGGCACGAAGACTGTGATGAGCAGGTAAACCGGCGGTGCTGCTCCCTGCTTTCGAATGGTGCGACGCTCCGGTCTCTGCAAATCCTGGCTAAGCGGTGAATGAGCGAGATAAGGAAATCCGATGGACAGTTTAGCACAAAGCCATAGAGTGAGATACGTCAATCCGCCAAATGCGACTGTTGATTATATGTCAGCACTCTGTTCCCCGCACAGTCATTGGGTCTCCCTGGGAACGGATCACTTACAAGAAGAATGCCCACTGGGGAAACTCGAAAAGCCATCAACAGCCAACTCGCGCGCTTGATTTCGACATATCTCCCACGTGACCAGTGTAGGGGCTCCATCGAGTCTGGATCCCAGGCCGCTGACAGCGAAGTTGCCGATCTTCGAGAGATCCGGATCGCATCGCGCGAGCATATCTGGTCTTGGTTTCCCAAACAGATCCTTCAGCCCCTCAGTCGCCATGTAGGCCCCCGCAAGCGATATACCCAGGCCCAACCATCCGGCATTCCACTCCCATAACTTGTACCGCCACAATTTTGCGCGTGCCACGATCGTTGTCTCGTGGCCTGTCATCGCAGGGCCGAAGGGGATGAGCACCAGCGCCCCGAGGACGATGATCACGGCCGGGACAATTAAGGCGACCACCGCCACCACACTGACCGATACGGTATCATGGTCTCTGTGGGGGAAGGAGATGCTTGGATCCGTGAGGGAAAATGGCCTCTGATTGGGAGAGACACGACCGAATCCATAGCCAATAAGTGCGATACCACTGCAGGGAGAACGCCATGAGTACTGTACACACACACTGACGCAACACGATCTATACGAGCTTTCTGGGGGTCTAATTCGCAAAAACGCACATGATAAGTATCCAGTCAAGAATATACGAGACGATCAGTCGCTTGGAAAAGCGCACATGCGCTGCTCCGAGTTCGTTTGCTCCTGTCGTCGCCGCTGAGGATGGTTGTTGTTCGTTCTGGTTGGAGTTGCGCGCCATGGCCGATGGGTGATGATGTCATTCACCAAAGTTGACGGGATAGGAAGTACTCGAGTATGTACAGTACGAAGTAGAAAACTTGAGGTTGTTATTTACTAGTCAAGAAAGTTCCAGTTTAATTGTGAGAGAAGAGAAAGTCTGAGCAAGAGAGGAGCTGGGCAGATTCCTTTCACCTCCCAATTTCTTTTTGTCTTCGTATGCGAGGGTGTGTTGAGCTGGAACTGCAGCAACCAACCTGTAGGTCAAAACTATGGGCAGGGCCTGGACCTAGTAGGTAGGTATTGGCCAGGTGACCGTGCCAGCCACTTAAGGTACGGTACGACCTTTGGAGCCGATTGCCGTGCCCACTACTGTAGTGCGTGCGCCCTTCTGCCCTTCCCTCTCATCTTATGATCTGCACTGTAACTCTTATCATGCAGATCTCGAGCGAAAAAAGAGGGGCATGATCGACGTCAGGGATGGGGGGGAAACAAAGACAAAACTCGTGTTAATTTATCATCTCGAATTTATTTTATTTTTTTTGACATATCATTTCATTGACTCATATCCATAACATTATATTACATAGCATGCGCCCTCCCCCACACCTTTTCTTTTTGGCCAGGGGGTGTGATTTTGTCACATGCTGTTGAATTGGAACGCTTGTGAAATTTTCGGAGAAAAAAAGACGAGGATGGTTAGGGGGGGAAAGGGAATTTTATTTCTTGCCATCCAAGTCGGTGAAGAAATCTTTCCCGAAGTCGGCGCTGCTGTCGTTGAAGCGGAGCTTGCGGTCGATGCCGCGGATCTTCTGCATGTCTTCGTCGCTCAGCTTGAAGTCTCCCTCCAGGTTGGCCTGGATTCGGGATGGGGTCTTGGACTTGGGGAGGACGGAGTGACCCTGTGTGATACCCCAGGCTATATTCACGAAAAGATAATGGGTTAGTGGGCGTGTCTTTTTTTGTTGGGGTGGGGGGGATGATGGGAGAGAGGGATCTGATCAACTTACCCAGTGCGACCTGAGCGCCACTCTTGTTGTACTTCTTGCCGATGTCGACCAGGACCGGGTCCTCGATCAACTTGCCGATGGTACCCTCCTTGGAATAGAGCTCGTTCTGGTTACCGAAGGGCGAGTAGTGGGTGATGTGGATGCCCTTGGACTTGTGCCATTCGGCGAAGTCGGGCTGCTGCAACCAGGGGTGGCTTTCGAGCTGGTGGGCGGCGGGCACGACGGAGGTCTCCTTGAGCAGGCGCTCCATCTCGGCCTTGGAGAAGTTGGACACTCCGATGGCCTTGACCTTGCCGGTGGAGAGGAGCTTCTCCATAGCCTTGTATGTCTAGAAGGGTGGGTCAGTACCCTCGATGTCCGTTCAAGTGTCTTGCCGAGGAAGGGGGGGGGGCTGAATGGTCTTACGTCGACGTAGTCAATGTCCTCCACAACGGGCTTGTCGTTCTCCTTGGGGAACAGCTCGTCGCCACGCTTCCACGCAACGGGCCAGTGGATCAAGAAGAGGTCAATGTAGTCGAGCTGCAGGTCGTTGAGCGAGTCCTGAAGCGCCTGGGGGACATCGTCGGGGTGGTGCTTGTTGTTCCAGAGCTTGGTGGTGACGAAGAGCTCTTCGCGGGGAACGCCGCTCTTCTTGATGGCTTGGCCGACGGCCTTCTCAGTGCCGTATCTATTTCAATGGAAATCAGCATGGGTGTCGCCAAAAAAGAATAGGTGAGGTATGGTCTGGGGAGCGTACACTCGGGCGGTATCGATGTGACGGTAGCCGGCCTTGATGGCTTCGAGAACGGCATTCTCCTGAGCATCGGCGTCCTGCCAGGTACCGAATCCAACAGCAGGGATCTCTGCGCCAGTGTTGAGCTTGAACGTGGTGGCCATTGTGTATTAAGTTGTGGGTTTAGTGCGTTGTGAGCGAAGATGCAAGGTATCAATTGAGGTTCTTAGTGCAAAAAAGGTGGTTTGTCTGGTCCGATTCTAACAAGGCCAACAAACGGTCTTTATACCAGCGGAGATAGAGGCCGACGTCAATTTGACGCAGCATCCTGATCACACAAGGTGCTTGTCTTGCCTCGTAGTGTGGATAACCATGACGTCGGACAGGCTACTGGCCGCAGGTTCCACATCGTTGGACCCAGCGACGGGCCCACGGATTTGCGAAAGACCAGGGACGTTATTTATTATGTCTCAGACCCGGCAATGATGTCGCTCATTTAGTCTTTGTTGAAGCCATTCCTTCTGTGATCACTTTGGCATTATCGGTCCCTCATAGAGGGGTTCGGAGGATAGACCCACATAGAATCATCCTTCAGGTGGTTTGCACGAAGAAACCTATGGAATGAAGAGCGGTGTTCCACAGCTCATCATGAGAGAGTTCAGTCAGTGCATCACGGTTGGATTTCGGATTCTAATTCCGCCTTCAATCTCAATGCGAAGGAACAGCCCATGGCCAAGCGAGACCGAGAGCTGTTCAAGCTCTATGTATGTACTGAGTATGAGTAGCTTAGCGAAATCGGCTAGACTGCCGAAGCACTAGCTGTTTGTCCCGCAATCAAACAGCATAAGTGGCGACTCTCACTTCCCGTACTTCATGCTTTCTATAAATTTTTGACGCAACCCACAACAATTTTCTTTCTTCCCATCATGATCATGCAACCACAACTACCCGAAGAGTCGCCCAACACCGCGACCTTGTGAGGATATCTTGTTTAATGATGACTTGACATTCTCGACTCTCAATGGCACAATTGTAAAAGGTATGCGAGGACTTTTGCTTGGTTTTCAGTGTTTCCCCCCTCTTGGATGATGACCCTATGACACGCTTTAAGGCATTCCTCAAACTTAATCACCATGTGGAATTCGTGTTTTAACTCAAGTTTCAGCCTTGTCTGACCTACTTCAATTTATCTTGCTGTCTTCTCAATTAGCTTGTCATTTGTGACTCTTCACTAACTTGCTATTTGACAGGTAAATACCACTCATTCTACTCCTCTGCCTATCTGGCTGCCGATGAAGAAATCTTGAACGAACGGGCGGACATAACGTGTACATGGACCTGCGCCCATCAAAAGCGAGGCGTACAAACCTTGCGGGTGTCAGGAAAGTGTATAACTTGTTGAGATCTTCGTCACCTGAGCTTTCATCGATCATCTTCAGTTGTTGGAACTGTCTTTGGCTTCGAGTCATACTAACAGGAACCGACAGGTAATTTCCATTCGCTTCCTGTCTCAAACACAAGCATTGCCCAAGTCAACTTTATATGATGAACACTTATTCACACTGTTTGATCTGTGTACTCTGTGCATGGAAATGAACATTAAACACAAAATTCTGATTTAATGAGGTTGGTACACGAAAATTCTGTGGTTTTGTGGGCTCTCGCTAACTTATTACTAGCCTGACTTCAGTTGACATCATTATCTCTTGACCTCACTCATGGGTTTTCATGAATGCGTTGCTGATTCTGTGGTCGAAGATTATAGGAACACTGATACCTTTCGTAGTAAATCGACTGGGAATTTGTGAGTATTCGCCCTCAACCACAGCTTGCCCTTGCATGATGATTCTTAAAATTCGCTGTGTTCTTACTGAACTACAATGTCGAAACAACAAAGATTCACCTTGGAGAACTGATCTTTACGCCTTCCACTTGATTGTGTACGAGATGATTTGCTGTAATGGCTGCTAATATCTCATCATAGATCACTTTTCCTCGCTCTCAGCACAGATACTCATAATGAATGAAAGAAGAATATTTTATCAAACTTGAATGCTCCTGTAATTGCGTACCGTCATCCACTCAGTACAATCGTAGTCATCCTTGGTCTCTCCCCTATTCCCTATTCGAAGAAGAGATTATGCTTCTTATGCCACTCTTCCAGACTATCACTCGGATATTCCTCGTGCACCTGCTTCTTCCCCTCAGGCCAACGCGCCCACGTCGGCTTCGACCCAGCCATAATGCAAACCATCTCATCAGGCACCGGCAACTCGGTGTCGATCGCCGACGCGAACGGATGAATCAACTCCGGCCATTGCTTGTCCCACAGCCACAGCATGGTACTACAGTTGGAGCAGAAGTTCCGCTCCGACGAACAAACCTCCTCCTGATCGGTACCGCGGGCCTTGATCGCGGAATATTTCCTTTCCGTGCAAACCTCGTTGTCAGTCGGGGTTCCGAACTAAATGGATAATACAATAGTCTTGGGGCATTTCGACATACTTGATCAAATCCTTGCCTTTCTTGATGTCCAAGGTGTCGGCGATTCCGCCGAGATTGACGCTGCCGCTGTACCCGCCTACCTTGCGACAGATGCTGCAGGCGCATAGCTGGTAGGGAACTGGGGTTGAGGATTGCAGGGAGAATTCAATGCCGCCGCATTGGCAGCTGCCTTCTAGGGTCCTAATTGTTTGGTTTTTTTTAGTGTTTGAATCGAGAGTTTTAGGGGTTGTTCATTGATGCTGTAACATGCGGAGACATATCTATTGTCGCGGCTGGTGACTGTGAAAGGTGGAAAGAAGAACTCACATTGGCATTTTCGTGTGTTCGGATTACTATCCACGGAATTGTGATTTGGATTAGTGAAAGCTGCAGATGAAGTCAATCCCTTTGAAGTAGGCTGTCATGAATCATAAATATCCTGGGGTTGGACAACGTCATTGATATATCAGCGCCGCAGCTGTCCGTATCTAGGCGGGTCAGGAGGGGTGTGCCTGTACCATCTAGCGACACGCTCACAAAGAAACTACATATAACTAGGGGTCCGAGTACACTCGATTGGTCATCTAAGATATCTACTTTGGAGCCTCAGGTCCAGTCGACCAATTATCAACCTTTGTGACGCCTATCTTCCTCAAAACCTACAGGTTACATGGCCCCGGCCGAGGGTTGACCCCGCACGTATGAGTCAGGCCAGAAGCCAAACTCATGGCACTCATGGCAGCAGGCTCTGTCCTTTGGTAAGCATTAAATAGCATTTACTAAGAACTCGGACAGGTTCCAGCTCACTTTGACGAATGCGGTGGTGCATATTGAGTAGATCATCTTGAACAGATGTTTGTCATGTTTGTCATGTTTGTTTGGCGGCGCCGATCCGGGCCCTTTTTCTCCTTCCGCGGCCTGGCAGAGGCAGGACCATTGTGAATGCCCTCCGATAAACAGCCGATAAGACGTTGCTCGATCTAACAAGCTCTTTGCTTGCTCCATACTCTTCAAACCGGATTATCACCCAGCCACCTCAAGGACCGTGCCACTTAGCCTTTGCCATGGGTTTCGGAGCTCCCGGTGGTGCCGCGACCAACTACAAGCCTACGCCGTAAGTGTGATCTGATGATTTCCTCTATCTCCGGTTTTCGCAACCGCGCGCGCGGTGTGCCGTTCTGCGATGCAGGAAAACGAGCTCAGCGCTAACTTCTGAACTCGGTTGTGTATAGTCCCGAGCGTGGCAGCTTTCCCCTGGATCACTATGGTAGGCCACCCACCCTCTCTCCCTCCCTCTCCGCCGGCTCCAATTCGGCTGCGCCTGCAGGCCCTCCGCACTTCCTCGGCACATGCGCACACACGCACACACGCACAGAAAGCGGGAGAACCGAGACTGACAGATACCGGGTTGCAGGCGACTGCAAACACCTGATCTCCGATTACCTGAAATGCCTGAAATCGAACCGCGGCGTGAACGACGACGCATGTCGACAATTGGCGAAGGGGTATCTCGCTTGTCGGATGGAAAAGTATGCCCTTTCCCCCCATATTCGTGTCATACAGGATATTCCACGGGGAAAGTATGTCTGCTAATACGAGAATTTGTTCTGTGCTTGGTAGCAACCTCATGGCGCCGGACGATTTTAAGAACCTCGGGTTGACATTTGAGAAGGACAAGGCCGCCGTTGCTGCTGCTCCTGCTGAGGGGGCTGCGGCGGGGACGGAGAATAAGTCATAAGTTTGGGGGTGGTTGCGAGGGTTGTACGATAGTTCTGGGACGTTGGTGGTCTTTTGTGCAAGGCATGAGGGGCTGCTGGGTTGGTTGATGATTTTCACGATCTGGTACATTGGTATATATTCTCTCACTCTTCGTATTTTTCGGCGTCTGGGAAAGGTGGTTATCTATATTTCGTTCTATGTATGTACAGGATGTGCAGGATTATATGGTCTGTATATATGTACTGTTTTAAAGCCTTCACTCAAGCCAGTAATCTGAGGCATTCTGAGTATGTTTGTTGTGGCCTGCGATCTCATTTAGAGGTCTTATCAGAAGAGAATGCGGAAACCCCCAATTTTCCATGCGGGGAAAGCTACCTAAAGTTATCCGCACCACCGCGGCGAACGGAACTTTTAGTCCTAAAAACTTGCCTACGGACTCTCCATCCTTTCCATTTATCATTGTGTGTCTCTTCGAGCTATTCCTTAAAATGCTCACCTTCACCTACCAATAAAGAAAGATAATCGGCGAAGACCTACCCCCCTCCCAAAAAAGAAAGACGATCTCCGCCCCGCCCCATAATGTCCTCCATCGCCCGACCCCCGGACCCCTGCCTGGTCGCCATCATCCTCATCGTCCGCTCGCGCGCCGGCCCCCGCTTCGTCTTCCATTACCCCCCCAACCCGCTCAGCGAGAACGGCTTCCGCTCGGCATCCTCCTCCAAGGCGGCGTCGTCGTCATCGATCTCCTCGCGCCGCGCCTCGCGCTCGAAAGCCACGTCTTCCTCCAAACGCGATCCCAATGAGTCCAGTTCCAGTGAGGAGAGCGGGTCGTCCTCGGATGAGGATGAAGAGGAGCTCATTATTCCCCTGCAGCAGCAGCTCAACCAGTCGTCGTCGTATGTGGTTGGTGGGGGCGGCAATAGTGGGGTGAATAGTCGTCGGCCTAGTAGTTTTGGGCTCGGCGGTGGTGGTGATGATGGCGGAGGAGGAGGGACGGGTGGAGGAGGGGGAGCACGGGCTGGGATTGCTGGGTCGCCTGGTGCGGAGTCGCAGAGGGCGGGGTCCATTGGGTCGGGGAGGGGGCTGTTGCGCAGTGGTGGTGCTGGGAGTATCAAGCAACGCGGGGCGAATTCGGATGTCGAGGATGAGATATCGATTGGGGAGAAGGGGGAGGATGAGGTGGGGAGTGCGGGCTTGGGGGTCGGTGGTGGTGTTGGTGGAGGGCAAGGAGGGAGTGGAGGTGGAAGTACAGCGACTCAGGGTGAGGGAAGTGGAGGAGGAGGAGGAGGAGGAGGAGGGGTTGGTGGTGGTGGCAGTGGAGGAGCCGGTCGAGGTGGTAATGGGGCACGTCCACCCTGGGAGACGTTGCTGGGACTCCCTGCTGATGTCTGGGAGAAGCTGTTGAGTCCGTCGCGGTCGTGGCATAAACGGCGGTTCGAGGTCGGAATCAACGACCTTGCCTTCGTCGGGTGGCCGGTGTTCGTGCGGGAGGACGGCATGTGGAGGAAAGAGAGGCGCAAGAAGAGGAAGCCTCGTGCGACTTGGGAGGGAGGAGAGCTTGGCCATAATGAAAAGCCCGAGGATGATGACGAGGACGATGCTCGAGGGGAGGCGGCCGCGGACCTTTTGGCGGCTTCAACAGAGACTTTGAGTCCGAAGCAGATGACCCCCGCGGAATCTCAGCGTGCCTCGATAACCAGCATCCACTCGACCAGGGCGGCAAGTGAGTCGCTGGATGGCGATGATAAGGACTCCATGACTATGTTCAATGTGGTTTTTGTGCTGGATCCGCCTTTATTGGAGTATTCCATGCGCCTCCGGGAAATCTACGATAACATCATCAAGAAGTTCTCCAAGGCGTTGAAGTGGGAGCAAGCGCGGACGGACTACGTATGGAGGGAAGCTCGCCATATCTCGCACATCAAGGAGAAGGCGAAGGAAAAGGGTATGTGACTGTGTCCTCTGTCGACCCTTTTCGCTAATTAATCTTGTACAGGAATGTCCGTCAACAATCTCTACTCAGACCTTGTTCACCAGTCATCCCTGGCCAGGGCCATCTACACCGTATACACGAGCATATCAGCATCCAAGATTGCATCTGTCACCCTGAGTCCGGACGTTTCCATCTCATTGCAAATACCCCCCTTGACTTCGACACCGTTCCTAGCAGGACCGACCGACAAGGCATATCCTGGCCTCTGGCTCACCACCGCAGACAGTGTCACGCCGGTTGACGACCCTACTGCTGACGAAAACACTGCGCCGCATCAGGTATTAGCCAAGCACTTCGCTTTGTTGCTGCTGGACAACGAAGCAACCATCTTGAAGGATGTCGAAGCTTCTGGGGGTGCTTTGGCCCCTGCGCTTGCACATTATATTCGTTGCTCGAAACCTACCAAGTCATTCGCCCAAATAGCCGTGACCTCCGGCATACCACTGTCCACCATCCAGATGCTTGCGAGCCATTTGGTGTACTGGCGAAGAGCGCGGGCGATCCCCCCGCTTCATCAGAGAGACACCTATGTTGTATCACCAAATTGTGATCTGAGCAAATTGGAAGTGGCGACAGCTGCCTACCAAGCAGCTTTCCCGACTCTGCCTAGTCTTCCTAAGATGCTATCGGCCATGAGCGGAACCCCCAGACCGTACGGAAGCTTTATCCCCAGCAAAGACCACAAAGTCACATACTTCGCCATCTTGGCGTGGTTGCTGCGAGGTGGCTGGGTTACCCAGCTGCGTGCGTTTGCAAGGGTCAAAGTGTCTCCGGAGATCAAGATGGCGGTCGAGGCAGCCATTCGCCGGGAAGAGGTCGACAAGTATCTGAGCAAGAGCGTCGTCAAGTCGGACGCAGAGGACAGTGACGATGATGATGATGATGATGCAAACTCATCCTCGTCATCGTCCCTCGACAGTCAAGATAGCGGGGAAGAGACCCCAATGCCCGGCCGGCACAAACCAGGAAAGAAGCTAGATTTGTCCTATTCGTTGCTGGACCGGACAACATCGCTGAGAACGTCTTCTCTGCTTTTATTCCCTCATCGCGCCTCGCCGCTCGAATCCAGATGGTTAGATGAAATCATGTCGCGATTCCCCGAGCGCGATGGACCGGGTACTGGCCGGGACGGCATCAACTGTGATGGCCCCGACGCCGACCTAGACCTCGTGGAGCTGCACCCATCTTTGAAGAAATACTGGCCTCGTTTCATCAAGTATTTCAATGGATATGACGCGCTGGAGAAGATCCCGGTCCGCGAGAACTTGAAGCGCAAGTTGGTGTGGCAGCTTCTCACGCGTCTCGGACTGGTGACAGGGCAGCAGTCGTCCGTCGAGCTGGATCCCAGAGAGCAAGTCCTGGTCAGTGTACGTCATTGGTAAGGAGAAATAAGATAATTATATTGACGATTAATGAACCATAGACCGGAGAGTAATAGTGGTAAATCAGGAAAGAAAGGATCAATTAAATAGCTTGGCATAGTATCTGCCCTGGATGTATAACCTTTCAATAGATAGAAAGTACTGACGAACGCTTCTGTCAATCTTCAATTGATACAACCCAAGCAACAACACAATTGGGAAACAAGGCACGTGAACACAGTGATGAGCCCCCACAAATGGGCAACCCATTCCCCGGGCCTAATAACAATACCGAGAAAGTTCTTCAATTACACACAGTGACAATTACCCTACCCTTGCATGCTGAAACAGCCAAAAGAATTGGCAGAGGGGAAGGCCGGGATTCCCGAAGTGTTCCGAACTCGCACCGAAACGGTCAGAAAGGGCGGAAAGGAAAAGAAAATTTTAAGGATGGTTGCAACTGGAACGTGGAGCAGGTGCAGCAACTTACTTAGCAGCAGCCAACCCTAATTTCTCGACTTTTTTTTTTTTTCGAGCCACTCACTCGCCCGGGGAGGGGAGGGGGTTCCGGATTTGCGCTAAGCGATTTATGATTCAAAACCCATTGGCTCTTGGTTTGGTTTACTTGGATTCGTGATTCGTTGATGATGGAAGAGAACTGTAGACACCTTATGTACAGTATAATATATCGGCACAAGGGGAATGGGAGTATTTTGTTTGAATCCTGTCTTTGTGTTTACCTGCAGAAGAAAGTGTAGTATCTTGTTCTGTCTGGAGAAAACACGATTCTTGTTTCAAGCAGCAGCGGGAAGCTGCAGAGGGCAGAAGCTTGGGTTGGATCATTAGAGGATAGTGAACCTGTATATCAATAATAAGGCTTCGAGCGTGGTGGTCGGTTGTAGTGCCAATATGAGAGTATGGAATCTAGCAGCAAGGCTTCAGGAAGCAGCTTGGTTGTTGTTTCCCAAGGCACAGGGGGGTGATGGATTTGCCTTGCTGCGATGGCGTTGGACTACTATGTGGTTGTCATGGAACGACTGCAGGTTGACTTCGGATGGTCGGCCAAGGATGCTAATATTACACATGTCGATGGCACCAACACAATATTCTGCTCGTGAGTAAGAAAAGATCGAAACAGATCAGATGTAAGTTATAAAGGGTGACCACACAAATGAATAATTGACTGGCACTAGTTGCTTATTTGTGCCTGATTGGGTCAAACGGCATCTCTCAGTGAACCCCAACCCAACCCCTCCATTGTGTTCAGCTACAGATTCATACTCCCACAGTCTTAAGACTGGCAAGGGCAATTGGCATGACGGGTGAGTGAGGCTAGCGTCGGAGTACTGACTACCTTAGCTAGGTGCATCTGGTCATTCATGTGCCAGGACAACACTTGTGCAACCCTGCTGTCAAAAAGCAAAGCTAGACAAAACAAAATATACAGCAGTGAGGGGCTGTTTCTTCCTGGATGACCGCATCAATGGCGTCAAGTGTCAGCTTTTGCATTTGGGCGTATATATAGCCTAGCCTGGGTATACTCCATGTATGACACGAGAGGGATTCGACTAGATTCCGGACATCATTCTCCACGCGATCGCATTGTGTGATATGTACAGTATAACTATGTTGGACGTCCGGGCTGAAGTGGAGAGGGGAAGAAGATAGTGAGGGGCTACCGCGGTCAGAAAAGACGACTGACTGATGGAAGTAGCGTCGCGACCAATGAGGTACAGGACTATTGATATTTCGGCTCGAGAATTTCCTCCAGAAAAGAAATTCCTTTACGTCCATGGACCACATGAATGCTAAGAGACTGAGGAGCGAGTACAAGAGGGGGGCCATAGAACTACCACCATCAGTGTAGAGTAGATTTCATAGTAATCATCATTGTGAGGCCCCTCCCTTCAACATTTCCGTATATCGCCCGTGTCCTGTATCCTCTGGATAGTCAGTATATCCGGCTATACGATCAACTTCAGAACTCCAAGTCTTCCAAGGTGGATTCGCCGGACAATTTCACGGGGATGAGGAACGTGCAAGAGTGGTTCATACCCACGCAAAGCCCTGACATCCACTCAACTAACCGCAGTTCTTCAAGAAAAGTAGTGCGGGTATATGGAAGGAACAATGTTTTACCAGTTTTTTTTCTTTCTTTTCTTTCCCCCATCTCCGGATCTCTCCAAGTTTTAGGTAAGTTAGGTAAATCGGATACACGATTAATTACAAGGTCTGAGAGGCCCTTGTCCCTTCGTTCTTCCCCATTGATACTCATAATTTCTCTCTACAATATGTGATATTAAGCAAATTGAAACATCATCCATGATCTGCGAAGACAAGATAAAAGAGTAAAGTGTAACTGAACTGAAAGCAAAAAAGGTCGGCCAGGCGAATTCCACACAGGCTGGCTGGCTGGCTGGCTGGCTGTGAATTAACTGCCTTCTTCGGCTTCCATGTCTCTCCGGCGGCTTGTAAATTATTTCTTATGATTTTCTCTTTCCTCTGACACACACACATTATTGTCTGTCACTCACTCACACTCACTAAACTCATTAACCACTGTTACTACCAACGGGCAGTCTATTCCTTCATCCTCTTTTCGTTTTTTCCTTTTCCTTTCCCTTGACCCCCCCCCTCTCCTCCCCTCTTCTTTCCCCTCCTCCCCTCCTCTAAACTACTACTACTACTACTACCCTTACCTCCATCCATTACTGTTTGGGAACTTTCGCTTTTCCTTCATTTTCTCTCCACCGGCTCTCCGTGCCTGTGTTGCTGTAGTGAAGTGGTGCGCCTTTTTCTCCAATACACTTTTTCCGTCTTCCGATCCACACATTTCTGTGTTTCGCGGAACTACGGCTTTTCTTATTTTTTTTTTCTTCCGGCATTGAACAAGGTAACTTGATCGATTGATCACTTTGATCTTACCCATCTTGTACCTTCTCCGCACAGGTTCTGCTTCAAAACTCTTTTGTCGCAGCACCTCATTCTCATTTTGTTCTTTTTTCTGATTCCCTTCTGCTTTCCCGCACCAGGCCAATTTTCGAAAACCTCGAAGTCAAGGAGCAGTCGTCACCACGTGCAAGTCGCGCTTCTCGTCCACCTTCTACACAAGGGGCAAGTTCAACGGGTTCCTTGCGAGCTTAACCAGCGTGCATCGTTCTTAACTGTGCCCGCCCTGTCCTACTCTCGACTGCAGTTGGATCTTCCGACGGCCCGGACTTCCTAAGTACATTTCGTGAGTTTGGCAACAGTCCAGCAGCGAAAAACTCAACCCTAAACGAAAACCACCCAGGTACTCGTCGATATAGTACGGTTATTCGAGCTGCGATTTCCTGTCCTCAACGAACCTCTACGTCGATCCCTAGATCTCCCCCCTCGCTCACCGTTCCAACGGCCCTTGACGCGAACGAACCTCGGTATTCCTATCTGCATGCGATCCGTGTTCTAGATCCTAATTCCGATCAGAGCATTTGCAGACCGACCACATTTGTTACCAGCGTCATATCAGTACGAAAGGTTCGCCCTCGAAGAACAACCACAGCTACCTGCTGCCGAGTGATATCCAGCGACGGGAAGTTGCATAACGGCGGGGTTGCCTAAAGGGCGGAAGTTGTATCTTCTGCTTGCCATCGCCGGTGGAGTTATCTCACCGACCAACTGTGGTTGATTTTTCCCACGTTCTCTGGCAGAACACACCATTCCAACGCTATCTTCACTTTTTCTTCTTACCTAGAACGGTACTCTAGATACGTCTTTCACACACCAAAAAGATGGCTGCTACATTTTCCTACGCACAAGCCGCCAAGGGCGTCGCCCCAACAAACTCTCCCGCCGAGCCAGTCGCCTCGTCCAACGAGCAGAACGCCGAGGTCAGCGCGGAACAGTCGACGGATGCTGCGTCTACCAAGGTTGAGCCAGGCCCCGAATCTGAGAACGTGAATGGAACCAACGACAAGGAAGCCGAATCGTCCAGCGTTGGCAACTCTTCAACCACTTTTAGCACGCTCAAGGACGAGGATGAAGTGAATACGCCCAATGGCACCTCAGAGTCTACTTGGGACAAACAGTCTCAAGCATCAGGAGCGGAGAAGGCCACCGGCGAAGAGGAGGGTGCTGATGACAAGACGGACGAGAAGGAGAAGAGCGTACCAGCTAAGGAATTGAAGGCTGCTCCTCTCCCTGCGGTCAACATCTGGCACCAGCGCAAAGAAGCCCAGGATGCTAAAGCCAAGGCTCTGGCCGCTTTGAAGCCTGCCACAAAGACTGGAACTTCCAAGACCACGTCCGCCGCTTCCTCGACGTCAGGCGATCATCAGCAGGAGCCCGCGAAACCTCCTAAGAAGAAGGGGACTGACGGTCAGGAAAGTGCCAAGGAGCGCAAGAAGACCGAAGGTGGTAAGGGACGCGATGAGAGCGCAAGCATTCCTCCCGTGGGAGATGCTAACCTCTGGCCGACACCCGATGTTGCTCAAGGTGAGGAGAAGAAGAAGCCTCAGGAGAAATCCGATAAGAGCCCTGTCATTCGCCCTCACGGCAAGGAGAAGTGGATGCCTGTCCCATACGTCCCAACTGCCGTGTTCAACACCCCCCTTCCTTCTGCTGCCCGCCGCGGTGGAAGATCTGCCCGTGGCGGACGTGAGGGTGCTCGCAATGGCACCCATGGCGCCGACAAGAATGCTTCCGGTCAGGCCGGTCAGGGCTCTGCCAAGCAGACGACATCTGCAGACAGAGGCCGGAATGATACCAACTCTGCTCGCGCCAACTCTTTGCCTGCGCAATCTAGACGCTCTAACAGCGTTGATGCTGGACTTACCGACTCCCGCAAGCACCAGGCTGGTCGCGGACCCAAGGGCGCTGAGAACGTCAACGCTGCACAAGGTGGCAAGAATGTAAATGGAGCCGATACTTTCCCCCGTCACCACCGCGATGCTAAGCAATTTGCCAAGGGTCATGAAAAGGGCTCCGATCACCACTCCAGGAACCCCCAGTTGTCCGTCGATACCCAGGCTGCTCCGCGCTCAGGGTCCACTCGCCCGGAAAACGGCCCCAAGTCGGGCGAATTCACCGGATTCCACGACCGTAAGGACAAGGACTTCTCTCGCGAGTCGCGCGCCGACCGAGGTCGGGGCTCCCACCGTGGAGGTCGTGGAGGCCACGCCGGCTTCAATGGAGCCCCGAACGCTCATTTCCCCACCAACCACATGTCGCATCACAACTTCATGCACCCCAAGTCGTTTGGATTCGGCGACCGCCAGAGATCACAGCAACATGGACCTACCAATGGCTCGTCAGGTGGTCACAGAATGTCCTTGCGCTCCCCCTCCCTACCCAATTCTGCTGCCATGTACGGTGTCTATCCTTACCCTGGCGACATCAACACGATGTACGGCTATCAACCTATGCATGCTGGCCCGATGACCGCCATTCCTTACCAGCAGTACATGGAGCCCTTCTCCCTCATGAGCATGCTCACGATGCAATTGTAAGTGGCTACATTCTCCCAGGGCCTCCGAGTCCGCAGTATAGCTAATGCGTGCCATAGGGAATACTATTTCTCGGTTGACAACCTCTGCAAGGACTTGTTTCTTCGCAAGCACATGGATTCTCAGGGCTTTGTTGCCTTGTCCTTCATTGCCAGCTTCAAGCGGGTCAAGACCTTGACCGAGGATTTCAACCTTTTGCGTCACGTTTCTCACCAGCTGAGAAATGTCGAGTACATCACCGGCGAAGATGGAATTGACCGTTTGCGACCCCGGGATACATGGGAGCAGTGGGTACTCCCTCTCGATCAGCGCGATCAATCTGCCCAGAACGAGGGTCCCGCCACCGTCAATGTTCCCAAGCAGGATGATGCTACCGTTTTCCAAAACAACATGGATGGAGTGAATGGTTCGGTCGTAAATGGAACAGTTGATTCTCGGGCTTCGAAGACCCTCTTGTCATCCGATGCTCCGGAGTTTTCGCCATCTCAGTCTGCCAATGCTCAGACTGAAGTCGCACACGTACGGATCCCTCCAATTGAAATCTATCCCTGAGTCAGACTCTGGTGGCCACGGTATCCGAGGCAGCATTTCACAGCTGCCTATGGAATTAACGGCTCAGCGCTCTACTCAATCATTCCTAGCGATTGCTAATGCTCATCGGTTCCCAGGCGGAGTAAATATAGTCCATCTCCATGTCACTCATTTCCCTGCGTTTTGACGACCACTTACCCTAGGTGGGCATTCCGATCACTCATTCTGCGAGTCCGGTTGATTTTTACTGATGCCAGAGCAGCTGAACACACTGCCTGTGTCCTGGCTTGGGCAGCTTGTTCAAACCTACCGAGTACATGGTCGCAAATGAGAGAGATAAACCTCAAATATCATTTCCCAACCACTCCTACAACGACTCTCATACCTTCCCACACGAGCACCGATCCATATCCTCTACCAGAACCTCTAAATTGTGACCGCTCTCGACTCTCACCCCGCATCCTTACCATCCGAAAACTTCCAATGCACAAATGTACAATGATGTTCCCAGAGCTTAGCGTTTGATGATCGATATTTCTACACGAAACGTCAGCAACGGCTCTACCGTTCTGGTTTGCGGTGTTCCTTTATGAGCAGCAAGGTCTTGATCACAAACAAGGTCATACCAGATTCTGTTCGGCTTACTGAGAGGAGGTTTACTCATGTTCAAGCTGCACTGCAACCTGACATGGATAATCCCCGTCTATAAGTCTGCCCAAAGATGACTGTTCAATGAATGCTAGCCTGACTGCCGAGCTGCAAAAGTGATTTGTCTTTTCTTGCTTCTTGCTTTTTGCCCCATGTTCCCATTACCATTTATGTTTTTATTGTGATTCTGCCGTCATGACATGCATCTATGTTTGTTTCGAATCTCCCGACGACCCTTCCCAGTGAAGTGAATTGAATTACACACACTCACGCACCTGGCTTCTCTCTATTCAAGGTTTTCGTGCGTTCATACTTTACTCTCTACCTGTTTTCCTTTGCTTCAGTCCTGGGAGGTTTCAAAATTTCTGGAGTCCGGGCATGTTTTTACTGGGCAGTATCCCATACCTGATGCTTGCTTCTGTGGTGCGCCGGGCTAAATCTTTCCACGACCATAGACTGTTTATCTGGGATTCTTATCTTTCCTAATACTGCGCTACTGTCTCACCTTTGCTGTTTCGATTTTTAGTACGAATGGAACAAAGAAAACCCAACAAAAGGATAATTGCTTTATGGTCTTTCTCATTGCTTCAGAACCGCTGGCACAAGTTCATCATCACCGCGGACGGGTATTCAGCTTACTATGGTTTCAACGGAGCGTCGGAGTCGCTTCTGTGCTTCTCTATATCGCCTGTCCTTCGCAACCCAAGGCATGATTGATGCGCTGCCTAACCCTTTATACTGCATTGATCTGGTGTTATCGGACTCTTGGGCTATTTATCTCAATTTGCATCCGGGGTATGCGTCTGAGTATCTGGTGTTTTAGTTATTTCGATTACAGAGAGCTAGGTTCATGTCCAGTCTAATAATGCTGTTTGCTGTTTGAAGCCTGAAGTATCAGATGTCTTTTGAAGCAGTGGCCTGTTCTCGTATATCATCAATCTTATAATTAACCGCGTGTTTAAGCTTCGTGCGAGGGGCGACGCAAAGAAGGTAGTATTGAGAATGGGCAGATGCATAGCAACAAATCAAGGGTATAGTAAAAGTAATTTCCCAAGTCCGGACGCTGGCAAGCAACCATGGGGAGATGACTAATCATTGCCTGCTGAGGCGGAGATCGGAGAAGCGGCGCCATGAACCAGAGCCGTCTCAGCTTCATCTACGGAGTACGTTATCTAGTTACCGCCACCACTGTTCATTTCAATCAGAACTTCGGACTAGTCTCACACCACTCGCAGACATCGTCGATTTATCATGGACGTGGCTTCGCGGCAGTCATTGAGGCTGCTCCAGTCCTCCCACAGCCGACTCCTCAATTCAAGCTCCCTCCGCGGGTCATCCACAGTCACAGCGAACACCTTGAATCGGATTCGACGGAGAGATGTCTCCAATTCAGCTCGCAGATTGGCTCCAGAATCCTCTTTCTTAAATATGGGCCCGGCGTCCCTGCAGTCAGGGGGCCCGCATACATACTTCTCCAATCGCCAGACGCTGCCTCTCAACACCGTGGTTCGATTCGTACCTCAACAGACGGCATGGATTGTTGAGCGCATGGGCAAGTTCCACCGGATTCTGGAACCTGGTCTTGCGTTCATGATACCCTTCATCGACCGAATTGCCTACGTCAAGAGCTTAAAGGAATCTGCTATTGAGATACCTAGTCAGAACGCCATTACCGCCGACAATGTGACGTTGGAATTGGATGGTGTATTGTACACACGGGTGGTGGATGCATATAAGGCCAGGTAAGTTGATCTAGGTTCAATACACTCTGTGATCGGTGACGATGTTCGAGTTCTTGCCTCTGCCTGTTTCGTATATCACCAACTGAGCTGACGCTGGACCCACCTGCTTCTAGCTACGGGGTTGAGGACGCCGAGTACGCCATCTCCCAGCTTGCGCAGACGACCATGCGCTCGGAAATCGGTCAGCTTACCCTGGATCACGTCCTAAAAGAACGCGCGACACTTAACACCAACATCACGCAAGCTATCAACGAGGCCGCTCAAAGCTGGGGAGTCGTTTGTCTACGTTATGAGATCCGGGATATCCACGCCCCAGAAGGGGTGGTCGCAGCGATGCACCGCCAGGTCACGGCGGAACGCTCGAAGCGAGCGGAAATCCTTGACTCTGAGGGTCAGCGCCAAAGTGCCATCAACATTGCCGAGGGTCGCAAACAGTCGGTCATCCTGGCTTCTGAAGCTATGCGCGCCGAACGCATTAACCAGGCGGCTGGTGAGGCCGAGGCTATTTTGCTCAAGGCGCAGGCTACCGCGAAGGGCATCGACCTTGTTGCCAAGGCTATTGAGGCCGGTCAAGAGAACGCCCACGGAGCTCTGAGTCTCAGTGTTGCCGAGAAGTACGTTGATGCATTCTCCAAGTTGGCCAAGGAAGGTACCGCTGTTGTTGTCCCTGGCAATGTTGGAGACATGGGTAATATGATTGCCCAAGCCATGGCCGTTTACGGCAAGGTCAGTCAAAGCCAGGCGCACGCTCTCGCATCGAAAGCTCTAGATGTGCAGGGCCCCGCTCAGACCGAACCGTCCAGCAGTTCCAAGGCCGCTGAGCAAACGGCAGAGCGCCACCCCAGCGACGATGTCTCCGAACCCGCTCTAGAGGAATTCGATCAGACAATCCAGTCGAAGAATTGACGTGAAGCGACTCCAATCCGGTGCTTCACCCAACTCCGTTGCCAACTTTAGCATCCTTGTATACTCACCGCTGGGTTCTAATATCTCCTCGGCTGCCCTCCATTATATTATCAGCTTACGATCTCTCTCACATGACAACGATACTCTTATAACCTCATCTGTAACTTTAGTCTTGTTCTTAGCCACCTGCTATGGTCGTTCCATTGGATCCTTTGTCCGCCATATTCTTTCGCATGAGCGACGTTGTACGAGCTGCAGTTTACCTGTTTAGTCAGAGAGAGGGCTCTCTTCTCTCTGGCTTTATGTACAGTAGATAAAAAGCAAGATCAATAGCTTGGAACCATTGTGTATCTCTCGTAGGTAGATGTTTGCATGTTTCAAATTGACGAGTTGCGCATTTCTGGCACCTGCTACTAGGTACTAGGTATAATCCAGACCGTTTCAGATAACTATGGGCAGGAAGGAGCTCGGGCCACCGCCTCCCGCGCCGCCCATTCTGGAGATCGCGACTTTTGAGTAGAAACGAGCGCGCTTTCATCGGACCAAGGTCCGCGTTCACTCCGCCAAATCCTCCTCCTCCTCTTCCTCCTCCTCTCCTCCTCCCCAACGACCAGACCAAGTGGTCTTCCTCACAACCTCATACTCATACTCGTCTACTCATAGCTGCGGACTGACAGGCCCATGGTCCGATGAGCCGGGGACAAGATTGCTTTGCGATGCTCCATCTAAGCAGTCCCTCATCCACGTCTATTTGCCTGTGATCAGCTCCGAACACGGACCTCGCCAACAACGAACTTTAAGCGAGCTGCCTTTCTTCTCCTTCCCTTCCCCGCGACTAGAGCGACCAAGCGATAAGCTACTGCGATGCATATTATAAAGCCAGTCTGGCTGACACATGGGGGTATGTTTCGTGACCTCTTGTCGTCGAGCGAATTTGCTGGGCAGAATCGTTCTCCCTTCACATTTGCTGGCGCGGTCGGTGTTTCTCGAATCGGCTTAAGCTAACCGTCTTCCTTCTTGGATATTCTTTACAGGCGAAAGAAAGGATTTTGAAGTATATAGCTGCGATGTATCTCCCGATGGATCTCGCTTGGTCACAGCGGCTGGAGGTTAGTGATGGGCAATTCCCCCCTCCCCCCCGGGACATAGGTGCATTCATGGTTTGATGGGATGAGCGCTAACTAGAAATGTTTCCCTTTGCGATTCTCAGATGGTTATGTTCGGATCTGGTCTACGGAAGCGATTTGCAATACAGAGGACCCGCAGCATGCCAGTAAGCCGAAGCAGCTGGCTTCCATGAGCAATCACTCCGGCACGATTCACACGGTCCGATTTTCGCCCAACGGGAAATACTTGGCGTCGGGGGCAGATGACAAGATTGTGTGCATATACACGCTGGATGCCAACCCTCCATCTCATGCGTCAACGTTCGGTGGGTACCAGGAAGTCCGCAATAAAGTGGTTCGGCTGAACGAACACTGGCTAATGGGCTCGTGCTACGATTTCTAGGGTCCAACGAGGCACCCCCTGTGGAGAATTGGCGCACCATCCGAAGATTGATCGGCCACGACAACGACGTTCAAGATCTAGGCTGGTCGTACGATTCTTCCATTCTGGTCTCCGTTGGCTTGGATTCCAAGGTCGTGGTATGGTCGGGACACACATTCGAGAAGCTCAAGACCCTGTCTATCCACCAGAGCCATGTCAAGGGGATCACATTCGACCCCGCAAACAAATACTTCGCTACGGCGAGCGACGATCGCACGGTTCGCATTTTCCGATTCACGTCGCCTGCTCCTAATTCCACCGCCCATGACCAAATGAACAACTTCATTCTCGAACAGACCAT